TCTTGTGATATAATGTGTTATGTTCTCACCACTTCGTCATTCAATCTGGCTTTTCGCTATCATCTGTGCGACCTCATTCGATGTGCTTACGGATCTTTGTTTCTCTATAATTTCTCTCGCCGTTTTGGCTATTCCCGTGGCCGTGATTTTCGTCGATGATGATATCACGCTCACTAAAGCTCACATCAAGCTCTCAGTCCGGTACTAACTTGTGAAGGTGGCGCCTTGTTGCAGGTACATCGAAGACAAAGCTGGAGCTATGGCGCCACAGGTAAGTCTCCCTGGCCTCCGCCAACCATCTCTCTCTCTCCAACGCTACTGTGGCATACTGCGTAGCCACGTGGGCCCTGCAGGGCCCGTCCCACACTTTCAGCCTAAAAGCCTAGAAAATAGGGCTTACAGGCCCCTGTCGTTTCAACCTGAAACTGAAAAACGAGGGCCTGCAGGCCCTATTCCGTTTTCAGCCTATTTTCAGGCCCAGAGGCTTTTCAGCCTGAAACGGAGGGCCATTTTCAGGCCCTCATTGTTTTGACCGACCCTAGGACTCAGGCACAAAAACAGGGTTTTCGGAACAGGCTATCTTTAGCCTGTTCCCCACGACAGCTCGAGCAGGAGCTGCAGCGGCAGCCCCTGCCTTCTTCGGCATTGGCAAGAGCAGCCTCCTGGACTGCCTCGCCTGCAGTCAGGAGGCACCCGAGTAGTACATAGGTAGTTCCCATGCACTTCACGGGGAGGTAGTTGGACAGTAGTCAGGGGTAGTCTTCAGGATTGCGGAGTGGCACTCAGGAGGAGCGCTGCCCAGGGCAGCTTAGCGCTAGTGGTAGTCTTTAGCGCTGGGCGCCATAGCTGTAGTCTTCAGCGCTGGGCGCTGTAGTAGTAGTAGTAGTAGTAGTAGTGATACAGGAGAGAGATGACTGGCGGAGGCCAGTGGTACTTACCTGTGGTGCCATCGCTCCAGCTCCATCTTCGAGGTACCTGCAACAAGGCGCCAGCTTCACAGGTTAGTACTGGACTGAGAGAGAGAGAGAGTTCTTCTTCTTCCTCTTCTAAGTCCACCATCTCTTCTTCCCCTCTCGCTGCCTACTTCTCAGTAGCTGTGGACTACGAGAGAGAGATACGACTTGAGACTTGACGACATTGGATCCAGACTCGACATTTGGGATTTAGACATTTTGACGAGGGACTATTTGGGCCTGTGCCGAAGACTTGGTGTTGACGACATTCCCATCTTCCCCTCCTCTTCGTCTAACACCCTTCTTCTTCGTCTGTGTATGGTTGGCGCAGTCTTCCTGTGTGAAGCGCCAGACC